GTAAAACAGGACAAACAGGAAGTTTCAACATTTGCCACTGAAAATTGCACCTATGCCAACCCAAACTCTGTGATCCAATCTCTCTGTGGTCTCTTTTTTTCTTCTTGTCACCTATAATCAAACTGTCATATTCTGCAGTGACTTTCTTTTCCTTAAAATAAAAACTGGTGTCAAAATAAGAAAAATTGTTTACCAAGGATGCCAACATTTGTAATGATTGGGTTTGGCACCTAGTCATAAAGTTGAGAATCTATCAATTTAACGGTTTAACCATGTCTAAACAAGCCAGAACAATCACAGAATATCTTCTGACACCTCAAACTTCTTTTTTGTGTTCACACCTGGAATGAAATTTCAGTTTTCAGTCCTGTCAGACTCTTTGCAACCCCATGGACTGTAGCCCGGCAGGCTCCTCTGTCTGTGGAATTCTCCAGGCAAGCGTGCTGGAGTGGGTTGCCATTTCCTTTTCCAGGGATCATTGCTTGAGCAGGTCGCAAAGCTTGAGTTGAAGTTAACCCTTGGCTAAAACTCAGATGAGTCTGGGGGTTTGTTAGAAGACTGGATGGCCAGGCCATCCAGAAACCCAGCTACATGAAGGGCTGGGCGGGCTTCTAGGAGGAGCTCACCCCACAGACAAACGGTCAGGAAACAAGTGGCTGTGCTGGAACCAAACCTCCCACGTCGGTAAGGCAGGGCCTCGCCAACGTCGGCTTGATCTGTATTCATGCCGACTGCCGCATGGAGCTCCATGCGGAGACTCAGAAAGCTGTTTCTACAACCACAGTCAACCCTGCAGCTTATCCAGGACTCCTCAGCCTCTGCGCACTAGTGAGGGTGATGTAACAATCATAATTTCTGCTGGCTCGACCTAAGCTTCCAGACCACTTCAAGTTACTTCCAAGAGACCCTGGGGTGCTTCACCTAAACCTGTCCACTTCCCTTTCATTCCCCTCTGTCCATGCTGGAAATCCTTGGTCTCCCAGGGGCAAAGGAGACACCACCATATCAGGAAGGCAGGTGCCCACTTGTCTATGGCCTTGCAGGGAGGGGATGCCCAATGTGAGTTGGTCGTGCTGGTGGGCAGGGCAGTTCCCAGTGAAAGAGCTGGCCATAAACAGTAAAGAAACAGCAGGTGCCCTGAAGCAGCTGGCCAGTACTGCTGATGGGTGCATGTCTGACCAGCCAGAAATGCATGGGGCTCACTTCGGAGGGTGTCAAGTTCCTCTCTGAGAATGTGGTTCCAGATGCCAGTGAAATTGGACATGGAGACCTTGGAAAACATGGAAATACTGTTGTTTCTGCACATTTCAAAGTCACTCACTCACCGTTGGAAAAGTGAGAAAGATACCAGGTTTTCCTACTTTCCTGGATCATTTGAGAAATTAATAAAACACTCATTTATTTATTCTCAGCCCTTTATTGGTTGTTGAATAAAATAAACACATAGAAAAATGACAATACTTTCCCGTATTGTGTGTTTTATTAATTTCTCAAATGATCCAGGAAAGTAGGAAAACCTGGTATCTTTCTCACTTTTCCAACAGTGAGTGAGTGACTTTGAAATGTGCAGAAACAACAGTATTTCCATGTTTTCCAAGGTCTCCATGTCCAATACCATTCACCATTGCAACAAAAAGAATAAAATACTTAGGAGTATATCTACCTAAAGAAACAAAAGACCTATACATAGAAAACTATAAAACACTGATGAAAGAAATCAAAGGGGACACAAACAGATGGAGAAATATACCATGTTCATGGATTGGAAGAATCAATATTGTCAAAATGGCTATACTACCCAAAGCAATCTATAGATTCAATGCAATCCCTATCAAACTACCAACGGTATTTTTCACAGAACTAGAACAAATAATTTCACAATTTGTATGGAAATACAAAAAACCTTGAATAGCCAAAGTAACCTTGAGAAAGAAGAATGGAACTGGAGGAATCAACCTGCCTGACTTCAGACTATACTACAAAGCCACAGTCATCAAGACAGTATGGTACTGGCACAAAGACAGAAATATAGATCAATGGAACAGAATAGAAAGCCCAGAGATAAATCCACGAACCTATGGTCACCTTATCTTCGACAAAGGAGGCAAGGATATACAATGGAAAAAAGACAACGTCTTTAACAAGTGGTGCTGGGAAAACTGGTCAACCACCTGTAAAAGAATGAAACTAGAACACTTTTTAACACCATACACAAAAATAAACTCAAAATGGATTAAAGATCTAAATGTAAGACCAGAAACTATAAAACTCCTAGAGGAGAACATAGGCAAAACACTCTCCGACATAAATCACAGCAGGATCCTCTATGACCCACATCCCAGAATTTTAGAAACAAAAGCAAAAATAAACAAATGGGACCTAATGAAACTTAAAAGCTTTTGCACAACAAAGGAAACTATAAGCAAGGTGAAAAGACAGCCCTCAGATTGGGAGAAAATAATAGCAAATGAAGCAACAGACAAAGGATTAATCTCAAAAATATACAAGCAACTCCTCCAGCTCAACTCCAGAAAAATAAATGACCCAATCAAAAAATGGGCCAAAGAACTAAACAGACATTTCTCCAAGGAAGACATACGGATGGCAAAAAAACACATGAAAAATGCTCAACATCACTCATTATCAGAGAAATGCAAATCAAAACCACAATGAGGTACCATTACACGCCAGTCAGGATGGCTGCTATCCAAAAGTCTACAAGCAATAAATGCTGGAGAGGGTGTGGAGAAAAGGGAACCCTCTTACACTGTTGGTGGGAATGCAAATTAGTACAGCCACTATGGAAAACAGTGTGGAGATTTCTTAAAAAGCTGGAAATAGAACTGCCATATGACCCAGCAATCCCACTTCTGGGCATACACACCGAGGAAACCAGATCTGAAAGAGACACGTACACCCCAATGTTCATTGCAGCACTGTTTATAATAGCCAGGACATGGAAGCAATCTAGATGCCCATCAGCAGACGAATGGATGAGGAAGCTGTGGTACATATACACCATGGAATATTACTCAGCCATTAAAAAGAATTCGTTTAAATTAGTTCTAATGAGATGGATGAAACTGGAGCCCATTATACAGAGTGAAATAAGCCAGAAAGATAAAGACCATTACAGTATACTAACACATATATATGGAATTTAGAAAGATGGTAATGATAACCCTATATTCAAAACAGAAAAAGAGACTCAGATGTATAGAACAGACTTGTGGACTCTGGGAGAAGGCGAGGGTGGGATGTTTCAAGAGAACAGCATCGAAACATGTATATTATCCAGGGTGCAACAGATCACCAGCCCAGGTTGGGTGCATGAGACAAGTGCTCGGGCCTGGTGCACTGGGAAGACCCAGAGGGATCGGGTGGAGAGGGAGGTGGGAGGGGGGCCCAGGATGGGGAATACATGTAAATCCATGGCTAATTCATTTCAATGTATGACAAAAACCACTGCAATGATGTAAAGTAATTAGCCTCCAACTAATAAAAATAAATGAAGAAAAAAAAAAGAAAAATGACAATAGTAAGAATTGTACATGCTAAGGTTTTTATTGGTTGAAAACAAGCAGATCACATTCCAAAAAGATTAAAATTCTGTAGGTTACTTAAAGGAAAATACAACTAACTCCTCAAAAATCATGCTTACACAGATATTGGGAACACAGAAGCTCTAATCAGTAAAACTTGATATGGACAAAAATTGATCAACAAATCAATCTTTAACAAACACTTACATGGAAAAAAGATACTAGAAAATAGAAAAATAAACATTTTTATTTAATGCTATACAATGTTTAGAAATTAATTAGGCTGCCTCAAAGGAATTCATTTTCTCTATGAAAATTTGTCAATCTTGCCAAAAATGTAATTGAAATATGTTTTTACATAGACAGAATGTGTATAAATACAGAAAATCTGAGAGTTTATATACACAGAGATTATAATAATTTTTTCTTTAAACAGTATTTTTGGCTTTTGCATACACATGCTGCATGTACAAACACAAGTTGTTTTATTAATGTAATTGAATGACTTAGGGGTGATAAGATTAAAATTCCTTTGCATTTCAACTAAGAAACTTCTCCTTTACTGAATTGTGTGTCTCTTTTCCCAACAAAATTATGTATTAAAAAATTGCATTGAAACCATAACCCCCTGGACCATAGGATGTAACTGTATTTGGGGATAGGGTCTTGAAAGAGCAGGTTAAACCAGTCCTAATCCAATATGGTGTCTTTAGAAGTATGGGAATTTGGACACAGAGCGACCTCAGGAATGCACATGCGTGGAAGGAAAACCGTGTGATGACATAGTGAGAAGGGGGCCCTCTGCACATTGAGGAGAGGGACCCCGGGAGGAACAGCAAGGTCCGTTCTCCTCAGAGAAATAAAGCATCATCCTTGGCATCAGATTAGTTTTTCACACACAATTTCTAGCACTCTATCAAAATTAATAGGACACCTAACAGAAAGCAAATGTTAAGACAATGGACTAAAGAAAAGAGATTTCAGGTGAAGGCATAATCAGACATGATTAATATATTTAAGGAACCGTAAGAAGAGTTAAAGAACCAGAAAGTATCTATAAAGAACCAAAAGGAGACTTAGAACAACAAAAAGAGGGCACAGTAGCCACAGTTAAGAACTGAACAGGAGAGTTTAACAGCCCTGAGGAGAGGTGAAAGAAAATTAGTGAGCTGGCAGACAGGTCAGGAAAGAAAACATGCAGAGTGCAGCACAAAGAGACAAAATTGCAAGTCAAGTTCCAGTAAGAAAGAAGAGAGACAGGGAGAGAAAACTTTCTGGAAAAGTTTTCAAAACTGACAAAAGCATCAAGTTACAGAGTCATAGGCAGGACTCAACCAGGCAAATCGAAACAAAACACACCTGAGTGCAGAATGGCTCCCAGAACCTTCCCGACACGAGAGACATTTATCCACCATTAGGTGAGGAAGTGAGTCCCTCTGCTGTCTGGTCTGTGATGGCATGGGACTGCTGAGCCCCCGGAATGCTGGAGAAGATGCTGAAGCAAAGAGGAAAGGCCTTCGGCCCATGCTCAGGTGGGACGCTGTCACCGCAGGTGAGCTTGTTTGACCTGGGTACCACAGTGGACCCAGAATCACAGACAGGTCAACAAGAGGCAATGTGAGAACCTGACATGTTTGCTACATAACTCGTTAAAGAGTGTTACCTAAGAAGAACTGCTGGTGTCACCATAGCCTTCTGTGTACAGTTAACCTCACAAAGTCAGGACCTCCATCTGTTTTGGAGAACAGGTCTGTCTCTAAAGATCCGCAATAACATCCATCGCCCACGTAATGAGTGTGTTGTGTTGGAGGAGTATCTGAACACCCTAGACAGGACTGGGGAGCATCAGGAAGGCAATCTGAATGACTCTCTTCACCACAAGCAAACCTGTCCCTGCAGGAGCTCCATGGGCCTGGGAGTCGTGCTATCAGCATCAAAGTCCGTTTCCTGAACATTTTAAGGAACAGCTGACAGCCTCGCTCCTACCCACTGGGCGCTTAGGGTGGGTGACTCAAACTTTTCACATTTGTTTGGCTACTGGCTGTTTCTCTGACTTTTGCCAAATTTATCTTGTGCAAAGGGATCGAAAAAGTTGACCTCCAAGCATTTTTAAAATAGCCAGGGGAGAAAAATAACCTGAGCAGGAAACATCAAATCTGCCGAACTGCTTGTCCACCTGCTGTGGAAGATGACTTCTTTGAGCCAAGACTTCAGTCCATCAAAAACCTGGCAGGAAGCCAGAACCACCTGCAATTTCTCCTTTCTTGTATAGCCAGCCACACGGATTCTAAATGAGCAGCGAAATGCAAGGTCTGCACCCAGGCACCCCTGGCAGTCATTCCTCCAGCCTACTCTCATTTTGTACTTCTACACTGCTCCCCAGAACTTTCTTTGGGATGCTAGTTGTCATGTGTGTCATATTTATGAAGAGAGAAATTGGGGAAAGTGAGTTATTTGGGAATAGATTTTGCTCAAGAGAAGGGCTGTCATATAAAGTCTGCTTATATCAAAGATGAGTCCTGCTCTGTCACCGGCCACCTTTGCTGTGGGCGACCCTAGCTGGCCGGGTGCTGTGTGAGCCCCTCTCGTTGGCTGCCTGCCACTTCTTTGCAGGTCTTGTCTTACTAATACTTAGCTCACAGGAAGCTCCTTCTATGTTATGAACTGTTTCAAGCCTCACAAAAAATATAGAAAACAATAGGATGAAGACTCATAACCTCGCATCTTTGAAAACAGTATTTTGCATCATTACCTCAGTTCTTATTATTTTAAAGAGATTGATCACTATAATTACAGTTTATATGCTTCTCCAATTCCTTCTGTCTGATCCTTTTTGAAAGATAATGCTTATCACTGTCTTGGTGTTTAATTAGCCCCAACACTGTTTTGATGATTTTGCATTAGGTGAGGGTACATATTCACAAATGATGTATGAAAATTTATATCTATGGCATGATACTGGGTCATTCTACATTGTATATTTCTCATTCAGTATTTTCTGTGATGTATCTATTTTGATGTTTTAAGTTCTAATTGACTCATTTTAACAACTTACGGCAGAAAGTGAGGAAGAACTAAAGAGCCTCTTGATGAAAGTGAAAGAGGAGAGTGAAAAATTTGGCTTAAAGCTCAACATTCAGAAAACTAAGATCATGGCATCCTGTCCCATCACTTCATGGCAAATAGATGGAGAAACAGTGGAAACAGTGGCTGACTTTATTTTTCTGGGCTCCAAAATCACTGCAGATGGTGATTGCAGCCATGAAATTAAAAGACGCTTACTCTTTGGAAGGAAAGTTATGACCAACATAGACAGCATATTAAAAAACAGAGACATTACTTTGCCAACAAAGGTCTGTCTAGTCAAGGCTATGGTTTTTCCAGTGGTCATGTTGGACTATAAAGAAAGCTAAGCGCAGAAGAATTGATGCTTTTGAACTGTGGTATTGGAGAAGACTCTTGAGAGTCCCTTGGACTGCAAGGAGATCCAGCCAGTCCATCCTAAAGGAGATCAGTCCTGGGTGTTCATTGTAAGGATTGATGTTGAAGCTGGAACTCCAATACTTGGACCACCTAATGGGAAGAGCTGACTCATTGGAAAAAAACCCTGATGCTGGGAAAGATTGAGGGCAGGAGGAGAATTGGACAACAGAGGATGAGATGGTTGGATGGCATCATTGACTCAATGGACATGGGTTTGGGTAGGCTCCGGGAGTTGGTGGTGGACAGGGAGGCCTGGCATGCTGAGGTTCATGGGGTTGCAAAGAGTCGGACTCGACTGAGCGACTGAACTGAACTGAACTGAACAACTGAGAAAATTCCACTGTGTGAATCACCAAACTGTAAGGATACATTCTCCTGCCCATGGACACCTAAGGTTATTCCAGCTTCTTTCCAGGACAAGAAAGGCTGCAGCTCATACACATCATGTGTGTGTGCTGGTGAGTGCTCCTCTGGGGAGCATTCCTGGAAGCCTGGCACCTTTGAGCACATGCAGCACCTCCAGATTGCCTCCCGGAGCTGCGATCTGACCTCCTGGATGCTCTCAGGAGCCTGACTAGGTGCGTCCAGGACAGGCAGGCACCCTAGATCGTAGCTTAATCAGTAATTTCTGCATCAGAGTGCACTGACCTACACCCACAGACATCTTGCTGTAGTGCTAGGAGGGCTTTAGGTCCTGTGATGAGATGTTTAATCCCCATTCAGATCACAGTCAATCCTAAAGGAAATCAGTTCTAAATATTCATTGGACGGACTGACACTGAAGCTGAAGCTCCTATACTTTGGCTACTTGATGCAAAGAACCAAATCATTGGAAAAGACCCTGATGCTGGGAAAGATTGAAGGCAGGAGGAGAAGGGGATGACAGAGGATGAGATGGTTGGATGGCATCACTGATGCGATGGACATGAGTTTGAGCAACCTCCAGGAGTTGGTGATGGACAGGGAAGCCTGGTGTGCTGCAGTCCATGGGGTCGCAAAGAGTCAGACACAACTGAGTGACTGAACTGATGTGACTGGATGGCAGGTGATCAGCCAGCTGATGTCTGTCCAAAACTCATCTTGTCTGAAGTCAGCCCACCTTGACACATAATTGAACTACATTCATGCTGCATGTTTAATTAAATTGTCACTGGCCAGCTCATAGAATTTTATTAATTTAATAGCATCCAAATTACACAATCCTGCTCTCGTTGTGAAAATACTTCTAGTTGTCTTTATAAGATCACTTGAGCTCTTGAGCGTGGCCCAGGGAAACTTACCTTACTGTTCCCAAACTTCCAGGGGCAAGAAGTCATGGAAATTGCAAGTGAAGATGCTCAGAGGGAGAGAGGAGAGTGGGCAGGTGGGACACAGACCCCTGATGGTCAGCTCAGAGTTCATGACAGATCGGCCTGTGCTGTACTGGCCGCACAGCCGGGACCCCCACATCTGCGGCAGCCTGGAACAGGTCTGGACCCCCAGCGCAGCCCCCTCCTGTGAAGTGGGGATGTGGTGATGCCGGCCCCAGGGTGCTCTGAGAGGCCTGATGACAAGGTGCCCACAGGGCGCCTGGCCTGTGCTGAGTGCACTGCAGCCAGCTCACATGGCCCCTGCACGTTGTGAGGAAGGCGAAGCGCCCCGCTGCCAGGCCCCCTCTGCTGTGGGTGGAGTGAACACCTTGGTCTCGGCTTCCTCCTCTGTGGACCAGGCTGGCAGCACGTCAGCAGCATCGGTGCCCGGAGGCCCTCAGTGCTCCTTCCCTCCGAAGTTTGTTCTGTCTCCACTGTCTCCATGATGCAACAGCAAGAAGCAGAACCACCCCCAATCCCAGAAGTGTGATGGGGAGTAGACAGAGCTCACAGAGTGAACCCTGTCTTCCTGCCAGATGGGTGGAAACATGGGTGCACTTGGCAGATTCCTCCTGGAACTCAGCGCTTCCCAGATGCGCGCGCACACCCCGAAGTTTCCCTAAACCCAGGGAAGCTGCACTCACTCACAGCCTGGGAAACGAGAGGGCCCTTTTTCTACTTGTAGTCTGAGCATTACAACATTGTGAGCCCCTCAGATCTTCTTTAGAGGAAGGCATCTCAACAAACTTATGTCCTGCCCCCACTTCTGCTGTCTGGGGGAGTGGCATTCTGATTTCGAGGAGGGGATGTACTGACTGTATTTTTCTTTTTCTGTGTTCTGGGATCTTCTGATGTCCTAAAGAAGCTCCCTGGCTGGGAGACCGCCCTCCTGGGATGACTTAGTCCTCAGAGATGCCCAGGGCCCAGCAGGAGAAGCCTGAAATGCCTATCAAGCACCCAGACTTCCTCTCTCTGCCCATGCACCCGGGGGGAAGAGGGCAACTCTCCTCTGCCTGCATCATCCAGGGCAGGAGCCCAGAACCAGGAGCCCAGAACCAGGGACCATACCTGTAGCCCAGAGCCCCCAGATGATCCAAGCTAACCAGCCCACTACTGTTCCCCTGCCTGCCTTCCAGAAACTCCAGGAAAAGCATGACTGTAGCTCCCCTCCTCCCGTCCTCTGCCTGCGGACCAGCCTGGGGCGTCCCCATGTGGCCCTGCATGGTGGTCCTGCCTGCCGCCCTCTGCGACTGCTCCCCACCCTGGAGCTTGTGTGATGACTGTTTACTGTCAGGCACTTTAATCAAGCTGCTAACTTTTAATTATTACTACACTGTGTTGTTGGCATCTTGTAGAGTCTGTTTAGACCCCGATGCTGGGAAAGATTGAAGGTGGGAGGAGGAGACGACAGAGGATGAGATGGTTGGATGGCATCACTGACTTAATGGACATGAGTCTGAGTAAGCTCCGGGAGCTGGTGATGGACAGGGAAGCCTGGCATGCTGCAGTCCATAGGGTCACAAAGGATCTGACACGACTGAGCGACTGAACTGAACTAAGAGTCCGTTTCTGTGTCAAAATGCTGTATTTTCTGTTTGCTTTTACATAGTGAAAATTCCTCCCACTTCTTTCCCACCCATGGAGGAAAAAAGAGATAGAAAGCATTTTGAACAATATATTTCATCATCACAATAATCAATAATATTTACCGTGTTTGATG